CACACACATGCACACACACGCACACACACGCACACACACACACACAAGCACACACACACACAGAGGATGATTTCAGGATGGATATCTATTTCTTTATACTTCACGCTCTGCTCCTGGAGTGGCACCTCTTCAATTCCCATCCATCATCTGACCCATTTCTGTATATGTGTCTCGCTAATCTATATGTGGACGCTGGAGACCACTGGACATGCAACGATATGATCAATTACAAATTAGGACAAAGGCTGAGAGGAGGACAGGAAGAGACAGGAAGAAACGTGAAAACACAGGAAACAACAGGAAGAGACAGACAGTGTCGTTCTTTCCTTCTTCAGTATCAATTGGTGAGCAAAACAGGAGGCAGAGAGAAGTGACAGGATTGGGGGGAGAGATCATGATAATGGTCCCAACCATACCAATAACGGGGAATCCACCAGAAACCGGCAATAGCTATCAACTGTCACCTGCAAAAAAATTGCCCCATACGCAAAACAAGTACACCAAGGGGTAGAAGAGAAACCGCACAAAAAAACCAACTTGTTACTGCACAGAACAAGCGTCCAAAGGACCAGAAGGTGACCTTCGCCCATACCTCACACCGCAAAACTGCTTGATTGGACAGGACTTTGGACCTGATTTGGCACAGTTTCTCTGGGGGCATTGAGTACAATGATGACAAGAAAACTGGTGAGGAGGGCTAGGCCGGACCGATGCTAAGTTCACGGGTCTAAGATTGACATTTAAACCAGGTGCAGGCTTTTCCCAAGGATGAAAATAGCACCCCGGGCATGAACATAGTCTTTGTCGGGTCTGGCCAGGACAAACATAGGAAGCAAGATGGCACAAGATGAGTGCATGTAAAACATATGCTCCTTTCTTCTCCAAGCGACCAGAGGCCTTCTCCATTTGGCAGGCCGAAGCGACATTCCCTGTGGGAATGGCCTGCCGGTGCCTCTACCCAGTTTCCTTCATGGCCTTTTTGTGCATGTTCTCTGTCAATATACTGATAGTCTTTGCCCTTCCCGGAGGGATTACCTTCTCCCCCGCGTGTGGTGAGGTTCAAGTATCTTCCCTCATCCCCTGTCTATGGTGTTGTTCCCTGCTGTATAAGGATTCGACAGTGAAACAGTTTTACCTCTACGGCGAGTAATATTCCACACTATAGATCAATTATATCCCTTTCTTAACTATCCTTACTTTTGGCTTTCTTTGGGGTACCCCTTTTATTTGTTCTTGCAGGTCCCCTCTTACTTTGCCTCTCACATACAAGGATGCCCATGTTGATTGTGGTGGAGCGCCAGCTGCCCACATCCCCGTGTGCCGTAACGGCATACTTGCACATTATGAAAGGAGGCAAAGGGGGGTATACTCCTGTACATTTTTCTTCAGGTCGTCAGCTCACATTTTGTCTGTTCTCTTAATGGTGCTCATCCGTAGTACACAAGAGGAGGGAGGAAGGAAGGAAGGAAGGAGGGGGCTGAGGTGGAGTTCCATAGGAAGTACACTGG